CAGTGACCCACACCTTTTGCACAGAAACCTCTCCTGCACATGGGGTTGAGAGCAGTAACTTTCTTTACTTGAAGCATGGGAAATAAGCCAACACATTTGTGAGAAACCCTCTGTCGAGACAGCTAGAGATGAATTTTCAGTCTGGTTTTAAGGAAAGTAGTTACCACAAAGCAGCAGAACTTATTTTTTCCATTGTTCCAGCTTTATGGGAAAGAAGGGAGGGAGATAGTTGATCTGGACACTACTCATCGAGGCTAATGATTTCCAAGAGTCCATATCAGGTACCAGTCCCCCACTGACTTTCAGTGGAAATGACCATTTCAGCTCTCCTTCACAAAAAAAAAAAAAAACCAAACCCACAACAAGCCAATGGACCTAACCCAGAATACCACCACAAAAAGCCCTTATACCTTATGGGCGGCTGAAAGTGCCAGCTCAGGCAGGAGACACGGTAACTCTCCCCTCCAGAAGAGTTCAGAGAGGACTCGCCACGAGCTGGTAAGAAATAGGGGCTCTGAATAAGTTTTGAGGAAAAATAATTATAATTTGGGTATACTGAGCCAGTTTGTCACACACACTATGACTACATCACATATGGTCTCTGTGGAAACCTAAAGCCATGAATTGCGAAATTATATATACATGCGCACACACAGCACCGTACATCGGCATCAATCCTCTGTTCTGCTATGCAAGATGTGAGTTATCAAGAGTATATGGAAGTGTTTAACAGGGTACATCTCTACTGCCTGGGAAATGAAGAGAGTTGAAGGATGAGAGACACTTGAATTTCTACAAAAGATTATGAACAGAGTGCTGTGGAAAAGAGAAAGAAGAAATCAAAGCATCGTTGTGTATTCCAGTCTAAGACTTAAAGTACAGTACATCTCCTTGCACTTTTGCAGACAAGACCGATCAGTTTGTGGGAAGGAAGGAGGAAGAAAGAGCGAAGCCTTCCAAAATTCATTTGCATCTAATGGCTCTCTGACAACTCTCTGGTGCAACTGGAGAACAAGCACCTTCTTTTGACACCCAATCTGGAAGATAAAACCTAGATGTGCGGTCTTTCTGAGCCAGCCCAGGGCTACGGCAGCCAAGAGAGAGCTCAGAGCCAACAGCCTGTACATTGTTACAGTTTAATTCTCTACTTTTACTAGATTTATGGTTTTCTTTTGCAACTGTATTTCATGCTTTTGAGATTTCTGCCTGCCCCCAAGGTAGCAAAATCAAGATGAGCAACGTTGCGGCTCTGTACTTTGTAATCCAAAGCACAATGGTTTTCCTCCATTAAGCTGCAGGGCTCAGGCGGTTCACCAAACGCCTAAAACGGAGAAGTCTCTATTAGTGTTTCTGGCAAGAGGCAGGTAAGTGGGGAGGCAACGCACAAGTTCAGAAAAATCCAGTACTCCGAGATCCCCCCAGAGTCAGGCAAACCCTGACAGACTCCCAGAAGCACTCTCAGTGCACAGACACAGTCTGCAGAGCTCATGCAGATGTTCAGGGACAGCACAGAGCAGAGCCCGTGGTTTCTACAGGGTTTCCCAAATGCCTCACATGCAGCCTCCTTCATGCAACTTTTGAAAACGTGATGTAAAGCTTGGTATCGTTAGAGGATCTTTCCATCCCATCTATTGCATTGAGGGCACTTTCCTGGACAGTGACAGAAGAGGGCGGAAAAGCAGAAAAAGCCCTTTGCAATATTCACATTAAACACACAAAAGAAAATTGTTTTCGGCCTCTCCATCTCTGCCATTGTCCCAACTCTGTGACACCGGGGAAAGCCCTCAGTGCTGACTGCACACCTCCAGATCTAACAGCCCTCTGGCTGGCACACAGGTGTCTCCTCCGGAGAAAGCCGGGTTATCAGTACTGCCGTGAATTAACAGCAGTGACGCACTTGGAGGCCAGAGATTGAGTGATGCAGGTCGGGAAGACAGAAGAGCGAGGATGGGGCAAAGCTCCATCACCTTCCTGTGTCCCAGACCTGATTAATCCCCGGAAAGGTAATGAAATCCAGTCTCCAGGACCATCTATTACCAGGTCCTGTGGCTGCAGGTATCCTCAAAGCTGACGTCAGTGCCTGCTGTGGTTAGGATCTCAGTGATGTGGACACTTGGCTCTAAAATAGAATTAAACCACTTTGACAGAAAAAAACTATTATTTTCCCTTGGCGTTTCTCTCTGCCGACGGCTAAGTCCCATGACTGCCTGTGCTGCGGCGAGCCCCACAGCCAGCACAGATGCTGCCACTCTCAGAGAGGCACACAGTAAAGTCAACAGGATTGTGAGACGCACACTTTGCTCACCACTTCAAACTGTCACTGGAAAGGAGATGAGCAGAAGCCAGCGAGGGGCTGGCCAGACCTTCGGAGAGATTTGCAGGAGGAAGAGCAGGTACAGGCCACGCACAGACACGGCGGTAGCTCTGTGCAGGGGACAGAGCGAGATGACGATGCTAGGGATGACATCGAAGATGATGCTACAAGCCCTATCGCAGCCGAGCACTCACTGGGTAAACAGCCCCATTGTGCTCTGTTCTCACCTTCCAGCAAGGAATGGCTCAGTGCTGCGACTGCTCCGGCAGCACCGGAGCTCCCTGCAGCGTCCTGAGGGGCAGAGGAGCAGCAGCGCAGCTCACAGCACAGCGGTCCCAACCCACCATCCCAAGACTTCTCCCCTTCTCCATACATACGTTTATTCCAGGAATATAACTTATTTTAGAACTTCTCAGGCAGAGGTCAGACTCATTTTGGTGCAGATTCTGCCTGCGCTTGGCCGGCTTTGCTGAACATCGATCACAGTGACGGATGGCTGTGGCTGAACAAGGGACAAAGAAGCTCCAGCAAACAAGCGCTGCATTCAGCTGGAGGGCTGCATCGGACCCCGGTGCCGACTATCAGTGCTGACTAACTCTTTCATACTGCAACACACGCATCGCCTGCGTTTGCTGAGATGCCTCTGAGCAAAGCCTCTGAGGGGAAGACAGGTCTGGCATCCTTTCCTCTCATTTTTGGGTGTTGTTTTTTTTTTTTTTAATCACTTGAAGAGGAAAAAAAAAAAATCAACTAAAGATAACCCCATGCCACACTGCAATTATAAATCCAGCATGAAGCACCTCAAGAGGTTCACAACCAGTAGCTAAATACAGTGACTTCACTGGAGTCCTTCAAGTTCATTTCTCAATCACAGTGAGGCACTAAGAGAAGCAAGGGGGAAATACAGAAATGGGTCTGGGGGATAACTTCAAAACAGACAGCCAAACCTATAAATTTATCCTAAGAATTTCCTTTGTCAAGTTGTTCTTCCCTCTAGCAAACAGATATAAGGAAGCTTCAGTATCTTTGATTTGGATGCTGAATTAAGAAATTAGTTTTTCTAACATTAAAACCCACTCAAACACAGAGAGTGCAATTCAACTGTTTGCCTCCACATCTAGGGCCAAGTCCTCAGCCGAGGAAGAGCAGTGCCGCTCCACTCCCTACAGTGCTGTATTACTCTGAAAGACCTGGAACTCAGCCCATGATCTCACGCAGTAACTGGCCCCTCAAACAAGACCTTGCACATGTGGAAAAAAACAAGTCAAAACTATGGTTTTTACAATACCGTTCAAGGAAAGAACGTACAGAGTGGGAGAGATGATACACATGCTATCAGTCACTGAAAGAAGAGACAGCTCAGCTGAAGAAATCCACGAGCAAAGCAGAGCCCGTGATGTGCAATAACGGAGCAGAGCCCGGGTTGCTCAGCAGTGAGCATGGTCTTTGCATGGAAGTCCTGCGTGGAGGCTGTGCCTGAGCCACATTCCCAATGGAGAATGTTCATGGGATGAGGGCACGTGCTCCAGCACAACAGAAACTTCAGAGATGGGGTTTTTGTTTGTTTTGTTTAACTAACACTTCTGCATTACTCTGACAAGAGACAGCATTGTCTGCTGACCTCATATTTGCAGTATCATTATCACAGACTAATTTGTCATAGCATGCTAAAGCAAATTTTGTCCAATATTATTCCCTATACTAAAAATGTTGCCTGACAGGTACAAGGCTTTCCTGCTTCTGCCAAACACTATATATATAATTTTTGGGACTGAAACATATAGCAAAGTAACCAGGCACATGGGCAGTGGCCTGAATTATGGGACAAGAGGCTGACAGATCTCAAGAAGCAACCAGTGACGTTGTCCAATGAAAGTGTAATATACAAACAATTGATAGGATAGACATCATCCTGATGCTTTTCCCCAGAATGAAGAGGAAAGCCTTTGTCAACAAAGTGAAACGAAAAATATTACATACAAAACTTGCACCTTGAATATTTGCTAAATTATATGTAATAAAAAACCAACCCAGCAGTCAAAGAAGCCAGAAAAATTAGTCCTAAGCAAAACAAACCTCAGACTCTTCTGCAGTGTTAATTATACTGTATAATGGCAGTCTGTCTAGCTTAAATATACACTGGATATAGATCAACGGACAGTAAAGCGTGTGTATGCATACCTAGGTAAGTCATTATTCAAATCCCAGTGCTTCAAATGATTCTGTTCAAACAAAGGCACTAATTTGAGGTAATCAGCACAGGACAAATCACCTTAAGTGCCTGGTTCTTACTCTTGCATTATCACAGGCCAGAAGCAATGGCTATAGGACAGTGTTTAAGAAGATCATGGGTTCCCATCTCCCTAATTATTACCAGATCTTCAAATGTTAGTGTCTGTACAGGTACGCACACGCAAAGAAGCAAGACAGTAGGCAGCACCTCTCTGATACACCCCAGGATCCATCTTTCTCCCACCCACTCCACAACCTGCCTGGTTGGTGCATTACTAGGGAGAGGGAGGCCACTTACTCACCCCATTACACTTGTTTTGATCCATGCTCATGATCAATCTACGTACAGATGGGGAATTTCACATCCTACTGAATGTGGGCACTATTAGGCCTTTGCCTTTAAGCCAGGCAATTGCCCGGGTCAGCTCATGCCCCTGCTGAATTAAGTCCTTACCTTCTTTTGAACCAGTAGTGACAGCAGCTGCAGTGGTCCCTGACGCCCGTCCCACCGGGCTGGAGTGCTTCCCGGCCCGGCCGGGGATTTTAAGTCCACTTGGCTTCAGCATGTTTGCTGTCTCCTGTATCTCAGGCTCGTATTGCCAGTGCCTCAAAGAGCTCTCCTGGTATCACCATTCAGGCTTCTCGATGATGGACCTCTTCTTCCATCGTCACAGACCTGGGAGAGAAGAGCACAAAGAAATCAGATAGAGAATGGGTGGGAGAGCACCAAACAGGCTCCCGGGAAGCAGTGCCCAGCTGCCTCCTCTCCCCCCTGGGAGGGCCAGGATCTTTCATTTCTTCTCCTGTAAAACAAGGGTGATCATCGCCTTCATCTCCCATCTTAATGTCACGCTCTTTTCCCCAGTCTTGCGGTCTATACTTTAACCCTGGAGTCCCGGACCAAAGCAGAAGCTTCCCAGAATGACCAACCAAGAATTTACATTCAATTTGGGATCTGAGCGATGGGAATTGTTGTCCGGTTTTACATTGTAAAGTCTCAGCTCATGCATCAGCCAAGAGCCAGTTCTGCTGCTCTGTGAAAGCACTGTCAGAGCCCTTAATGAAGGCACACTAACGACCCTCAGTATGAGACCTTTGGTGCACGACCCCCATTTTCAGCAGACCTCAGGGCAGCCTCTCCAAATTCACAGGAGGAGTCATCCAAGATGGGGCTTTTCAGATCCCATCATTAAGAACAAATCCAAAACCTCATTACAGAAAAAGGGCATCTAACTCTATGGATTTGCAGTAACACTGAAAAAAACTTTCCAAAATCTCAGCATGACTCTACCAAACTACTTGTTAGTGAAGTCACAAACTCTTCCCTATGCCATTCCCTTCCCAGTAAGCAAACAGAATAACACCTCCAAATTTTTTTGCAAGGATGCACCATTAACGAGCACACAACTCCTCAAGCAAAAAATTTTATGACAAGAAAAGAAAAATAAAGGAAATGACTAAGTTGCTTAAAAAAAAATATGCAAAAACATTCTTAATGGATAAAGAAAAACAATCAAAAAATTGAGAGTATCAGCCAAAAGGAAGCTAAGGCTGGCTGAGTGAGCAGGCTGCGATGTGGAGGGAAGGTGTGAGCCAGGGACAATGCCAATGTAGCAGAGGGACTTGCAAGAAGAGCAAACCAAGGACCAGCCAGATGCCAGGGGACACCCAGACCTGCCTCCTGGGCCAAGGAAGGAGGCAGCCTGCTGCAGGCAGCACCCTGGAGAATTAATGTAGCAAAGATTTACAGATGCTGCGAGTGGGGGAACTGCAATAGCGGGGACGGGAAGTGATTAAGGCATGAGTAAGGATTTCACCAGAGGCTGGGTCAGAGCGAGGGGGGGGCTGGCTGGGCTCCAGGGAAAGCTGCAAGCAGACACAGAGGAGGAAAAACCGCAAGGAGAATTCCAAAACTGTATTCTTGATGGGTCAAATATCTGAGACACCAACGAGCGTTTCAGCAATAAGAGTCAGTCGTCCCACACCGACTTAGAGAGACAAAGAAAGGAAGGATCAGCAGAGAGAGCCAGGGAGGGAGCCTGAGTGAAAACCCAAGGGATCAAGCCCCATCTCTTCCCCACGTCCCCCACAAAGGGTGTCCAACACCTGGAGTGGGTTCAGACACCTGCAGACAGCACCAACTGGGGAGCATTTAGCTTACACAGAAGTCAGAGCTGTTTATGAGAAGCGGGATGCTCAGATCAAATCACCAGCAGCAGGAACAACGGCCAAGAGCAAGCAGTTCTTGTTAAGGAAGAGAAAAACCAGCCTTCCTGCGACAGAGCCAGCAAGGAGCAGATGCTGACACTGAGTTGGACAGCAGGCTGCAGCTTCCAGCTCTATTTACCAAAAAAATAGGGAGACAAGTAACAGAATCTGGAGGTGAGAAACATTGATCAGCCTGGTTCATAAGCCATCAGACATCTCCCTCCCACCCACTCCATCTCATATGACACATTTTGCCCAGGGCTAGCTTTGATTTTACAAAGCAACTTGATTTCTAGCACTTCTGCTGGCAGGCAATGGGCTCTACCAAGAGATCTCACCCCACCTCCATCACCTTCAACCTGAAGGTTCGCTCTCTTCGCAATACGGCCTTCCTCCTAGATTTAACACATCTCATCACCCGGTCCTAACTTTTGGTTAGGAGGTTTGCTGCCGTACTCGTGATTAAGCAAGCTGGGGACGCTGCTTCTCCCAGATCAAACACGATGGCTGGTTGAATCCACAACCAGGAATGTGGATGGGGGAAGGATAAAAGGACACAGGGGAAGGATAAAACAGCAGTAGGGAAGAATCTAAGCACGAAAGGGTGCCAGAAGAATAAAACCATTTTACAGTTTTTCAGGCCTCTGTTAGAGGGAGTCTTTAGATCCCCAACTTTGCAGCCAGAACCACGTAAACTTCAGGGAGACAGTGAATTTAGTCTGTTCCTCTATTTTGCTGCTCATCTATGAAGAGTCAGGAAACTTCAGTTCATTTTCCCTCTGCTGCTCATTGTCCCTGAATATCAGCTGGGCACAGAAGTCACAGGATATTGTGATACTCTGCTCCTTCTCTGGAACTGGATTTTATTTTTACACAGGGGGAAGAGAAATAAGAGGAAGTGCATTCCCGCTGCCTAAAGATTTCTGCCAGAAACCTTTATGCAAACACATTTGCTTTCAACGTACTAATGCTGAAAAACAAATGAACTCCACAGGCTGCTAATTAAGCTACCCTCTGAACAGATAGCTTCTTTTATCCAGAAATACAATCACCGCGGCTAGTTCACGGCCACGCTCCCTGGGGTCTCCGCGCCACACACCACATTCAAACACTTCTGAAGTGCCACCCTGCAGGAGAGCCAGGCACCCCCAGCGTGCCCAGCCACGCTCGGCTCATAGCAAAGTCTGATGGGGGTTCACTCCCGTATCTGAAGTTCATCTTCATCTCCAAGAGCTTCAGACTGACCAAAGCCAGGAAACAAGGACAACTGCCTTAGCGCGTACCTGCACACTCATCATCACACAGGGAAACGAGGATAAACTCAAGTGAACTTTACTATATATGTAGCTTGTTAGAAACAAATAGATAAAACTGGACAGGATAAAACTTGACACTGGCCCAGGGTGCCCCGAGAAGCTGTGGCTGCCCCATCCCTGGAGGTGTTCAAGGCCAGGTTGGACGGGGCTTGGAGCAACCTGGGCTGGTGGGAGGTGTCCCTGCCCAGGGCAGGGGGTGGGACTGGATGATCTTCAAGGTCCCTTCCAACCCAAACCATTCTGTGATTCTATGATAAATAAATGTCTGGGACATTTTTAAAGTCTATGCATTCTGCTGAGGACAGATACTCCTTCCCTGTCACTAGTTTCTCCCCCACTTCAACATAAAAATATATGTGCAGATTTTTAGGAAGCTCTGAAAGCCGAGCACGGAGTTCTTCTGAATTACACCATTAGGTCATCTTCACCACCCACAGCAGCGCTGCCCTGAGGCATCCAAGTCCCACATTATCATCCAACCGAGTGATGCAGCTTTTGTGCTGCAGAAATATCCTCGGCCTGGGACACAGGCCAGTACCTCCACAGGGCACTGCCCTGCTCCATTAGAGATAACAACCTGCTCTGAGCTCCCATATCGTACCCTAGACATCCCAACAGGCTCTATTAACAGAGCCCTTCTGAAAAATCTGTTTCCAGCAGTAGATGCTGAACATAGAAAAACACGATGGCGTAAGAAACGCGTAAGCCATGTTCTTTTTCCTACTCCCTGTATTACCTGCACAAGCTGTAAGCTTTGCTGTCCCGTATAACTTCATGGAATTGTTACTTTCTCCAGACACACTGTAAAAAAAACCCCACCATCTGTCCCTGTGGATACTCTGGGTCCACCAGCTCTGCTTATTTTGTTTTTCTTCATTTTCCAAGATGACACAGATTATAAGGATTTTCTAGATCTCTGCTAGATTCTCCCTGCAATCTTTTCATACTGGGATGAATGGTTCTGTCTGTTCCCACAACCAAGAAAAGTATCCCAGGAATGCGCAATATGAAAGCCTGCTTCAAATGACCAAAACATTCTGTTCTCCATATTTCCATCAGAAAATGGGACAGCTGGATCTGAGTCACCTAGGCTCAGATTCAAAAAGGGCAACAGTTCTCAACTAAGTACAGATGTACATCCAAAAACTATCTTTCACCAGGAGCAATATCTCTGGATACCCAAGTGTCCACAACGCTGGCCAGACATCAGAACAGCATGCATTGAAAACAGAAAAGCAACTGGAGGTTCTTAGACTTCAATTATTTCTCAAATGTGGTAGAGGAATAACACAAAACACAGGTTGGAAGCAAAAGCCTTTGTCAATATCGCTTATCTACAAGTTTCTCTGCTTCATCCATCCCTCCTGCCCTCAACAAGGCACGTGAGTACTTGCTGGCCACGTGGAATGCCATCCCATTCAGGAAGGACAGAAGCAACAAAGCAGACTCCCAGATTCAGCGTGCGTCTCAGAAGGAAGCCCTCATGGGTATGTGCCAATCCGAGGATCTGTTCACCTCGACATATTGAGTGAAACAACTGCAAGACAGAGGAACAGGTTTCCAGACACCAGACTGAGTTGGCCTGAATCCCATCCTGTATCTGGTGCTTCCTTCTGGATGGATCTAGATGCAAGAAGTGTTTGCCCAACGCGAAACCCTAGGCAAGGCACAGGGGCTTCGCTGTGAATGCAGACCCAAGCAGAATTTAGACCAGCTGCATCTGAATACTACTGTAACAGTTGTGTGTATACAATATTTTGCAGAGAAATAACTCGCTATTTCTTAGAATTAAACACAGCCAAAAAAGTGAGTACCAAAGTTTAGGTTTCTAATTTTCTAAATTTGGAATTCCGCATGTAAGAAGTGAAATTTGAAGTTTGCAGTCACATGCACGTTTTTCGGGACAAGGGCCCATAAAAAAGATAAAGAACAGTATCTAGTTTTCAGACTGAAGGAAATCAAGGTTATCATGTTGTATGGAAGGTTGGTGATAAACAAAGACAATGCAGAGAAGCAGTAAAAACACTTTTTTTTTTTTAAAC